TTCTCGTGGTTTTCGCGATTCTATTTTTGGCTTTCTTTCAAAGCATAATACCTGCAAAATAAGCACCGAAATAATAATTATTTGTTTGCATAAACCTCAAATTTCGTTAATATTTTAAAACGTTGTATCATCTTATATACACTGGTTTTCTTCAAAGGAAAAAAAAAAAAAAAAAAAAAAAAAAAAAACACCCAAGGTAATGAATTGAAGGCCAACACTAAAAATCAATTTTTAAAATACGATGTAGAAAAGTGATAAAAGTTTTGATTGAAACTTTTTCTAGACTTGATTAGATTTTGCATCGAAAATACTTTGTAATTACTACAGGTCGAATCTCAGCAATTTTGACTATATTAAAATGTCTTAAAAACAATAGTTGAGTTTTTTTGGTGGAAGCTTTGTTCATCCGATTTATTACATGCTTTTTTACTTGTGGTTAATCAGTCTTTGATATGCTAACTCAGGCCCGTAGGCTGGGGGGTTTCGGACGAACCCCCCACACACGGAAAAGGTTCGGTGTCCACCTGGTATTTCTATTAATAATACTGTCAAATCGCTTATTTGTAAACGAAAAAATAAATGCGTGTTGTAATGGTCAAATTCTCGTTTAAATTCAATAGAATAAATTGCATAGTATGTGTTGAGTTTTCTGTGGAGCAGCAGCATATTTTGGCGGGAAAATATATTTCAGCGGGAAAATATGTTCATTATTAAAAGAAGGAAACTGAAAGGTAACCAAAATGGAAAAAAAACGAACCCTCCCGTTTCTAAGGCAGCCTACGGGCCTGTATCTATTCTATCATAATTCTCATCCTAACTCAAAACTCTAGTTTATTCTTTAGTTCCGTTTCAGTCCGCTTTATTTTCCAAAATTCATTTAGTTATAAAAAAACACAGGTTTTTAACTTCAGTTTTTWAAATTTTATCAATGAATAACAGGTTATGATTATCTCACGTTATCGCGCTCACATATTGCATTGGGCTTGCCTATGCAACATGCAATCTTCACCAACCAACCCGGCTCAACCAACCTTTTTGGAATAACTATGAATACATATTTAACGGCCGATTCTAATACAGCGCCAAAATTTCACTTCATTTTTGTTTCGTAGATATGATAAAAACCCTAAACAGTAGCAAAGAAAGGCGTGAGCTTAATGAAACAGATGATTTGATAGGCGCCATTGCCGCGTTGTTCAGACTACAATCCACGTACAACATATCAGCCAGAACCATGTTAGAAGGCAAGATTCCAGGTAAGCTTTAACTGCACACTCAAGAAACTCAAGAATAAGACCAATGCATGCAGCGGTATCTTGGGTTCGACATTCCTTGACTTGCCATCTAATAGGCCCTTCGCAGTTAACGGTCACGTGTCTGCACTAGAATGCAAAATTTTTGTTTTTATATTAAATTGGTGATTCTTTTTAGCTACTTGTAAAGAACTGAATGAAAAGATGTGTAACCATTGTGTTACGAAATGCAGTTTTATTACGATCTCTCGAAACAGGTCTTAGAAAGTTTGTTTGCTCTCCAGTAAATTTCGCCCATGGGAATCAAGATGTTCATTCATTTGCTCTCAGTGAATTAATCAGCACGTGATTGCTTAGCTGCAAAGGGCCTATTAACTCGCCGATCGCGAGTTGTCTTAATTTTTTTCTCTTGACATCCATTTAATGTTTCAGGTTGCCAGCCTGCTTCTCCCATGACTGTTGACGACTGCTTTGACCTTGGTAGTGTAGCATACAGGAGTTATCACTTAACCCGGTCACGGGAATGGTTAAAAGAAGGCGTGCGACTGATCAGGGAGATGCATCCTAAAGAACCTGCGAAACTCAAAAGTCTTTTGGAGTATCTGGCATGGGTGGAGTACCTGGTGAGTCAATAATCCAATGGTATAAACTTGAAACTATCTCTGGGCTCGGCCGGGCATCGAGTCAATTCATGCACAGATCGAACCCTGAAACAACCTCTGGGTTGATCCAAGTCAAGACATGGATAACTCACAGATTGAACCCTGAAGCAACCTCTGGGCTGATCTAAGTCAGGGCATGGCTAACTCACAGATCGCACCCTGAAACAACCTCTGGGATGTTCAAAGTCAGGGCATGGCTAACTTACAGATCAAACCCTGAAACAACTCCTGGACTGATTTTAGCCAGCTCACATATTGAAATTATTCTACTCGCATGTGATCATGCTAAGTTCAGGAACCGAACCTCGATCATCAATCCTTATCACAAAGGGATCCCGTCGGTATAATCAACTGTTTTTTTGTTTGTTTTTTGTTTGGTTTCAGACCGGAAACGTCGAGGAGGCACTGGAGCTAACAGAGGAATTGATCACACTTGGTGAGTGGCAATTATAGCTGACGTGGCATTTTAAAGCTGGGAATGGCAGATCCTGCAACACGATTTTAAGGACCAGGGATCCCGTGAAAGAGAGCAGAGGAAACGGGAAATTGAGAGGTGTTTCCACTGGTCGACCCACATTTACTTTGGACGTGGATGTTTTCCTACATTATACCACATGTCATACCCTTGTGTATTGTTTTTGTTTGTGTTTGTTTATTTAGTTTCGATTTTTAGTGTTGAATGGTGCAATACATAAATTTAACTCAGACGAGAATCATCTACGGAAATGAGGTGGTAAAAGAACAATACACAAGAGGTCAAATGGTATGGTCTAAAAAATTGCGAGACTAACGGGTTGTCTATCAATCTATTACCAGCTCCAGGAGAGCAAAAATTAATCGACAATTTAAACTACTATCGTGAGTTAGTAGATTATGACTATCCCTTGAACCAAGATCAATTAGTGGCAAGAGACGAAGAGATCAACACAAAAGCCTACATCAACTCGACATACTCAAGGGTTTGTCGCGGAGAAACTATAAAGGTTAGCATGAACGATCATGCAGTATTGAAGGTGTGGTGCTAGTAGTACGGACGCTGTGAAGTTAGTGAGTGAGTGAGGAGGCAAGTGGTTGAATTGGTGGTTGAGTGATGGATAGGAGAGATGTACGCTGGAGAAAAGAAGGACGGAAGGAAGGAAGGAAGGAAGGAAGGAAGGAAGGAAGGAAGGAAGGAAGGAAAGAAGG